ATGGGCTGTCTGGGCGCTCAAGGGACGGACGCTGGCAAAGAGCGGGGCTGAGCAGCCCGGGCAGGAGAGCGGCCGCGTTTCCCTCGTGCTTCAAAATGGATGGGCTTGGCCAACAGGCCCAAGGGAGCCTGCAACCGCTGGGGTATCAGGGGTTAAATCAACTCCTCACGAAATGAGGAACAAGATGAGGGGCTAAGGGATCCTGCTACATTCCTCATGATCCCAAGGTACAGGAAAATGGGACGAGGCAGCGTGAGTCACTCCGGAGAGGAGCAGCGTCTCGGGGAGTCAGGCAGGAGGCAAGAGCCCTCACTGCGGGCAGAGCGGCCGAGGAGTGTGGCTCTTCAAGTGCAACTCCCCAGAAGGTACTTGTTGAACTGTCTTTTAACTTCATCACTCTAGGTGGGGTTTGCTATTTTAATTTGTTTGTGTGACAAGCTTGGTGAGGATCTATGGCCTTCCTATGAGATGCACAACTGGTTTTGTCTTGATGGATCCTTGGGTTTCTGTGGTAACTGTGAGATTCAGAGTTGTCCCTGTGGTGGCTGAGCTCTTGCTCAAAAGTCTCCCTTACCCGTTGGTACCATCCCTCCAGGGAGATGTTTGGGATCCCACAAACCCAAATGCTGACAGACTGTACTCCCCATGTCTTGGTTCACTGGGACCTTGCTCAGACGGTTTTAATTCCTTGTGCCTCACAGGTATTTATCTGCTGTTCTGAAGCCTTGAAGATACCATAGAGAAGGACAGTCGTTACTAAGTTTGATTAAGTGGATGTTCTGGCTTTTATATACATTTTGTGTACATTGTGTGCTAGCAAAGATTTTCATGCTCCTTTAACTGTAGGAGCTGCAGATACTAGCGGTGTGTGCTGTTACCGTTTCAGGACTCTGGTTTGCTGGTGATGGAGAGCGTCTCTCCTTCCTCTTCACCTTTCCCTGCCAGTTCACCCACAGTGCAGTCAGAGAACGCCACTGACCATGACTACTACTCTGGCCTCCAGAAGAGCATGCATGTCCTCTCCATAGTGGTGTACAGCATCGCCTGTTTGCTGGGTGTGACGGGCAACGGCCTCGTCATCTGGATTGCGGGCTTCAAGATGAAGAAGACAGTGAACTCCGTCTGGTTCCTCAACCTGGCCATTGCTGACTTCATTTTCACCTTTTTCCTGCCCCTCAGCATCGCCTACACTGCCCTGGGCTTCCACTGGCCCTTTGGGAAGCTCCTGTGTAAGCTGAACAGCACCATCGCGTTCCTCAACATGTTTGCCAGCGTCTTCCTCCTGACGGTCATCAGCATGGACCGCTGCGTTTCTGTGGCCTTTCCCATATGGTCTCACAACCGCAGGAGTCCAGAGCTGGCAGGCAGGATCGCGCTGGGGACGTGGGTCCTGGCTCTCCTCCTCAGCTCCCCATACCTTGTCTTCCGGGACACTGTGGTTAGTTCCAGGAACGTCACCACCTGCTATAATAATTTTGCACTGTCCGATGACTACACGTCCGAGGCAACGCGGAGGCTCTGGAGGATGCGGCATAAAGCGATGATCGTAACGCGATTCTTATGTGGGTTCCTCATCCCTTTCACGGTGATTCTCATCTGCTACAGCATTGTTGCTGTCAAGCTGAAAAGGCGGCAGTTAGCCAACTCTGCAAAGCCATACAGAATCATCATTGCTGTCACAGTCTCGTTTTTCCTCTGTTATTTCCCCTATCACGTCTTCTCCTTGCTGGAAATATCCAAAAACTCTTCCAGTCATGAGATGAAAGTGGCCCTTTACATAGGAATCCCCTTGGTTTCCAGCCTTGCTTTCTTCAACAGCTGCATCAACCCCATCCTGTATGTGTTTGTGGGGCCGGATTTCAAGGAGAAGTTTCGCCAGTCCATCCTGTCAACCTTTGAGGGGGCCTTCAGTGAGGAGTCAGTCCTGGGCAGCCTGGCCAGCAGGAGAAAGTCCAGGTCTGCTTCGGAAGTGGAGGTCCCGAGGGCCTGAACGGGTGCTGATTTGGAGGGGTCAGGGTTTTTCTTTCTGCAGTTTCCCTTTATTTCAGAGCTATAGTCACAGGGCTGGGGGCTGCAAAGGGCTGCGCATGCTAACAAAGCGTGATTTGATGTTTTGGAGGTGTCTTGAACCTACTATGACTTAACGTATTACAGAAATTAAACAACCACCTGGAGCTGCAGCAGAGCAGGGAAAGTCAAAGTACGTTTTGCTCCTTGTGCCACTTCCTCAGCTGTCTTGTTTCCCTGTACCTTTTCCAACCGCTGTGGCCCATCACACCTGGCAAAACTTCTCCCTGGCTGGCCATGCCGAGAGGGGAACCACGGCCCAGGCGGTGGCTGACACTCATCAGGCTTGGCTTCCTCAGTACTGCTGACCCATCACAGCTTCCGCTTTTTAACAGGGGACCCTTCATAAAATTCGCCGGGTTTGTGACTCTACTGGCAGAGCTCTCTTTGTTTTTCTCTCCTCCTGGGAGTTCCCAAGGAGGAGGCTCTCTGGCTCTCTCCACGCTGCCCGTACGCCCCCCGGGTAGGCGGTCTGGGACAAATCTTGTTTGGGTCTCTGTTGGGTTCACCTGCCTGCGGTGTATTCACACCCGGCGAGCTGAGGGGGGATTTTGTTCCCTGACAGGCTTCCCTGGCAGCTCATCTTTGCTGGGGTTCCACCAGAGGGCAAAATCGGGTGCAGCAGCACTGGAGAAAAATGGCTGTGCTGGAGGTGTACGGCTGCACCGGCATTTCGGCTGTCCAGGAGAGAAAAGGAGGGAGGGGAGAGCTATTCCATAAGTGCTTTGTAATTAAATCAGTAAAGAAAATATAAAGATCCTTTCTCATGTATCATTCCAGCCTGACACGTGGGCTGCTAAAGCTGAAAGGGAAAATGATTTTTAAAAAGCAGCTTGCAGTGGGATTGATCCAGAGGCACTCTTATACATACATATTTTCAAGAAATAGGGTTAAATGGAATTATTATATGTGGTTTTGTAGGACCTGGAATAGCTCGTAAGATACGCATCTTTTCTCTCCCTAGATGTGTGGCAGGACAAATAATTGGCTGTGCTCTGGTTACACAGGTTTGAGGTACAGCATAACTATTTCTGAGCAATGCTTGTCTGTGTTCATATTTGACATGTTTCTGGCCCTTGAATAGCAGAGATCTGACATTTTCGTGAATGAATATTAAATCCCAATAAACTTAAGGAAAACATAGCCTGTTGTGTTGCCTGTGTGATAAGCCTTGTTGATCCAGCCTGGCCGAGCATGCTCTTCAGTAATAGAACAACTAGATAAAAAGATTAAATACCCAGAATCTGGAAACAAACCACTGGCATCAGCAGCAACTCTCATGACTGAAGTAGACGGGATTCGACCTGGGTGTGAGGACTTGTCTGGGGGACTCTGTCCACAGGGATCTGATTGCTAGGTCACAGCTCTGACTTACTGGTGGGTTTCAGACCTTCTGGTACATTTGAAAAATCAGTGGTTTGGAGGAGAAAGAAGAGCAAGTGCAGCTGAGCTGGGTCTGGTCAAGTCTCATGTTTGCAAACTGCTCAGGATGGAGCCAGTAGAGGTTTTCTTCCCATGCTTGATCAGCCTTTGAAACTCTTTCATTTCCATAGTAGAAAATGTTGTTCATGTAAAAGGGAACAGCAATGTTGATGTGCTGTCATTCCTAGCCCACCCTAGGCACTTGAATGAGTGGGTGACTGTACCCCACCTCCCAATCTGCCTGTAAAATGGCACGAGCTTTGTCCCGCTCATCTCTGCCTTGGAGCCTCACTGCTCCGATGGCTGGAAAATCTCTGGCTCCCAGCCTGAACATACGAAATTACACGTACCTCGCTATCCTGGTGGGGATGACAGTACCGAGCGAGAGCTGTCACTTGAACATGTTAGGGATTAATTATGGGTCAGCCGGGCCATGCAATATTAAATGGAAGTCGTGATCCTACAGGCATGCATGTACTTAACCTTAAATTCATGCATAAACCCTCTGAGAATGGGGAATGTAACAAGGCCGTCCATATGTCAGGCATGAGTGAACAGAGAGTTCTACCCTTTGCCACAAATCGCTGCCTGTCATCCAGATAAAACGGCAATGTTTGCCATGCAGCATGCGACTCCAGGGCTGTTTACTTGCTCCGGGTGGTAAACTACAGCATCGATTGCCATGTCAAGGTTGTGCAGGCCACCGTTTGCTCTTTCTGGTTTTCCTTATCTGTTTGCAGAGCCCACGTAATTCCTTGTGACAAGAGCCTCTGAGAATGCTGGACTAAGGCCTTGGACTCCGGTGCTGCCTCTCTGCTCCTCTCGGCACCCTTGAAGGTCAGGACTTGAAGTATTGACCTGATTTGTTGTAGGAAAGAAAGCAATTTTCTGAGTCATTTGGACATGTAAGGTGGGTAGAGGATACCTGTCGGACAAGATGATTGAAATGAAGCGGAATGACTGGGTGATCTAAGGAATTACCACTGGAACACTGGAGCACCCTCTCCTCCCTGGCATCCCAGCCAAGCCCAGCACGCTTTTTGCAAAGCAGCCCTGTTACATCGGCTCACCCCGTTTGACCTGAGACCGAGCTGCTTTCTCCCTCTCTGGCAACATCCCTGCCAGAAGTTGCTTCCATTCAAAGCGTCACGTCGTCATGCCCAAGCAAAACAGTGTGTCTTCACAAAGCTCAATGTGTGATGGGAAAGGGGCTGAGAAGCCTTTCAGGGCGCTATTCCTCAGAACGCTTGCCAAAATACTTTCGGGAGAGAAAAGGGGGAAGCAAATGTTTTATCGATGGTAAAGGCCATTGCTGTGTTGCAGGACAGAGACAGAGATGGGTCTGTCACCTCAGGTCTGATCCCTTTGTGCCTTTGTGCAATAAGAAGTGGCGCTGACATCAATACGGAGTCAGGCTGCCAAGGGTCCAAGATAAATCTCCCATTGTATCGAGTTCCCTCATGCTCAGACTATCTCATTATCACCGTGATAATTGGGATAGTCCCTCATCCCTAACTAGGAGACAGGGCGTTCATTCTCTCTGATACTTGTGTTTGTCATGTGCTTATCTGGAAAATCTTGAATGAAAAAAAAAAAAGGGAAAAAAGGGATTTTTATTTGTTTTCCAAAGCCATGCAAACAATCCAAAGAGGTTGAATGACTCTTTTGGCAGCTGTGCCCCGCTCTGACGCAGCTTTGCTCTCAAGGCTCTTTCCGCTGCGATGGGACGGGTGGAACAGCCTGACCCCCCCCAAGTATTTGCAGTCATTGAGAAAGCTGCTGAAGCTGCCGCCCCGCCAGCGTCGAACCCTCATTGGTGCCGCCGAGAGGCCGACCCTGCAGCCCCACTCACACAAACAGCGCTCTGGGGCGGGCAGAGCCCTTGGGGTGTGCGGGGCTCAGGCAGAGCCATCGGGGCGTGCGGGGCTGTTGGGGTGTGCGGGGTTTGAGGTTCAGGCTGTGCACGGTGGAGCCTTGGCTGAGAGAGTAAGCAAGCTGTGGCAGAGCGTTTGGTATGAAGCAGCAGGCCAGGGCGAGCTGTCTGAAGTCGTTAATGCTTTGGCGTTGGGCAAAGTAAATAAGGAATCACCAAAACATCTCGGTGAAGAGCTCAGAAAGACTTGGCAGGTGATTTTTGGGGAGAGGTTTTGTCACAGCCTGTGCCTTCTGAGGGCAGAAATTGCACTGGCTGGAGCTTTTGGTCCAGAGATGCCCTCCAAGGAAGGTACCAAGGGACGGTGTAGATGGGAAGGATTCTGTCACGGGGCCAGTTGGGGTGAGGGAAGACAGGCCTCTGTATGCCAAAAAGAGAACTGGCAGAATCAGGTTACAGCCTGGTTGTGTCCTGTCCTGATTCAATCACAGCCCTAAATGGCACTGGATCAGTGTTATGGTTTTGGTCAGACTAGGGTCTCGCAGGACAAGAAGATGTTTTTATACGTTTAATGCAGGAGGGAATAACTGTGGTGGTTTAATCTTGCTGAGGGACAACGACAGTGTAAGTGGGTCTTGTGGCACTGCTGTTTCTGTAATGAAGGCAAGATCTTAGATGAGGAAGTATCAGGAATCTCAAGGAATTAAAGCCTGGGGTGAATTGCACCCTCAGCAGCTGTGGATTATTGCTATGCCTGACAGTTCCACCCTGGTTTAGCAAGCACGTAAGTCAAGAATCTCAACAAGCTGCCTTGCTCAGGAGGAGAAAGTACAGCGGGTGATGCTGGAGCTGGGAGAAGTTGCAGAGAAAGGAGGGAGGAAACCAGCTGCAAGCAGCAGCTCAAGAGGAGAGGGTATTTTCTCCCTGGGACCTGGATGAGAGTGTGCAAATAGAAACCGGGCTCAGACTGGTTAAGAGGAAAGGAAGGAAGGTGCGGGAGCTAAGACAGCCTTGGAAATACCAACAGCCTGATGGTGGGTGCAAATGAATGGGAGGGAGACTGTAGCAGGTGAGGAAGTTCTCGTTAAGGAGAACTTAACGAGGCTATAAAAGGCTCTGAAAGCTAGCAGTCCCCAAGCCTTCCCTCTGGTGAAGCTTTCCTGGTGAGTAAAATTTTTAAGTGTCCCACTCTTGAGCTTGGGGAACGGACTTGTTAGGTAAAAACCAGTGTGCCGAGGTCTGACAGCAGAACCTCTACCAGAGGGTGCTGAAGGCAGGCTGGAAACAATATGGCAAGTTAGAGGGCTGGAACTGTGAAGTGTTTTTCAGTGAAGGTGAGGTGGTGTCAGTAAGTGATGTAGGTCATCTCAGCCTTTCTTGGTGTAGCAGCTGGGTGAGCGGGAGGTAACTTGCTATTGCGGACGGGCACCAAATTGGGAACAGGGTGCTCTGTGCTGGTTCAACTTTGCTCCTTCTCTGCACTTCTCCCAGCTTCTGCCTAGCTGTGCAGGACAGGGTTAGTGCCAAATCCTTCCTTACACCCCCTCCAGTCCCAATCTGTGCAGCTGGGCATGCAAAGCACAGGATCTTTTCTCAGGGACTGAACTCTGCTTTAAGTTGTAGGCTTG